CATTATTGATAATTTTAGCAAAAAATAACTCTTATGCCAAAACGCATATTAGAATAGAGGAACTCATATAGATGTGACGATCCTATACGATATCCAGACACATTTTCTCGAATAAATCGTCAATTAAGAGTCAACCGTATGAACAGTTTTCAGACGACGATAGAGGTACACATTGTATTCAGGTCAGACAAATACAGTCCACTGAGGATAATGTGTCGCTTTTGGACAATATTGTCATCTATATCACTTCAACTGTATTTTCTAGTCCTCAAACAGAGTATGAAGTGAAATACAGTTTAGATGTAAAAGACGAGTGATCAAAAGGAAAAGATGAAGCACAAATATACAAAGCAGCAAACAATCAATGGTAACTATAGTGAAACTGAAATCATGCATCAATGTCTCTTTATTAACCACTGCTTAGCACTGTCGATGTGCATAGGTTTGAAGAAATTTCTTTAGAAGTGTTCGTCAGATCTAATTCACATTGAATCCATACGACGTCTTCAATATTAATTACATAACGATCAATGTTATTGTTACTGGTACCGTAACAACAATATTAGGAATTATTATTATTAATACCAATATTACTGTTGTACTTATTGTGAATTCCAGTAAGTAGATTGTATTCTCCTGACATCCATTTCGTGAACATTATTTGTTGGATTATAACATTGTTTGCAGCTTAACACCTCAAACCAAATCACTTCATCATCTTATGAATATGATTACTTGTTTACAAATGGGAAACAGTGTCCAATGAAATATTCTTCATTTCTTCCCAATTTCATACAACGAGTTTTGGTCAATTCAGTTTGCTCTGAGGTAAGTTCACATGGAACGGTTTGAATTTTAAAATTTGAAGCTAGCACAACTGTATGTTTGTTCGTCACTCACTATATTTGTTATCGGTCTTTTGCTTGATGGTTCGCTGAACCTCTTACGATCTGCTTGAATTGACGTACATTATACAACATTGAAAGTTTGTCACAAACAAAACAACTTGCTAGGAAAATCTTTTTGTATGATACTAAACGATATAAGTTTGAGTTTCACGAGGAGTATCGGTTTCCTGAATATTTCCTGTACAATAATGAAGATGAAAGCTGACGTCAGTAAATGAATTTCACTTAATGTAGTCTTGTTGGCTTACTCGCCTACTCTACTACATGTCACTTTGTTTCGTCCTATTTCCTCCACTTTATTCCTCTCTTTACCTGTCTGGATCATTGAGTGTATGAAATACACGTGTTCAAAATGAATTTTTGTATTTGGCTTAGTTCCTTCATTCATTTCTTAAAAACGAATTAAGTTGATAAAATTACTCGAAGATTGCTGGCATGCATATCTTAACGACAATCGGCATACGATCTAACTGGAGTCAGATATAGGGTCATTAATAAAGATGTGAATATGCCTATTATTTAATGATCAGTCAACGTCTATTAAATAACTACAATCTCATACCTCCTTTGTGTCTGTATTCTGCAGAATGCCATGTTCTATAAGACTCTCATCAAACCCATATTGCATTTGATTCTGACGGTGTTTTTTCGACAACTCTTCTAGTGTCCGCAGATATAGATGGCTCAACAAATAGAGTTACGTTTATTTCTCATGATCGATTAAGTTGATTGTTTTCATTGATATTCAATACTTAGTTTAAAAGCAAAAATGATTTCATTATAGTCTTGATTGCATAAAAAAAAAAAATCACCGCACAGAAAATTAACAATGTTGAAGGATATTTGGCGTTTAGAGAAAACCGACGATTGGCAAGAACTGTGCATCATTTCGTATACAGAGATATCTGCAACTTATCTGTTGGTAACATTCAGTTCTCTGTGATTTTGTATGAATTCACCGTGAGGGCTTGCCTGTGATGACCACAAATAATGGAATTGAAACACGGACTAGCAACACGTGGAAAACACTGATAAGTACTCTCGCAGTCCTGAATGGAGATTAACAAAAACAAGTATATATAACAAAATGGAATAACGGCATGGATATTTAGGCCACAATTTCATAATAACTTATGCACAATCAGTGGCACCTGGAAAAAGCCATGCCATCCATGTTTCAGGTTGGAGTTTCAACATATTTTCATACGCATTGGTATACATCTGAAGTATTGGTTATTGCCTTGAAACCACACCAAAGTTCAAGGTTTTAAGTACGAAATGTATAGTAGGTGAGTAAGTTTAAAGTACAACATCAGTTTAGAGAATTTTTAGTGAATGTGCAAAGGAACACTCGTGTTCCACATCTCACACAAGGGAGTTGAATGATAAAATTCAAAATAGAACTAACACGATAAGACAAGTGTAATATAAAGGGTGAACAACATTGAAGAGCGTCTATTATAGTGTAGGCCTGTCGGAGTTTTGTGGAGATGGTTCAACAACAAGTTAAGATAGTTGCATTATATCCAGTTTGAAATCACAACCGTCAACAAAGTCTTCGAAACCAAATAGACGAAATGAACGTCAACTCAGACTATCGACATAAGTTATCTCAAACAAATGACGGAGGACAGATGTAAGTCTTTGATCAAACGATATTGATTGCTGACCATAAAAACAGAAATCATTTTGACAAACAGATGCACCTGAAATTTCAGTGACTGAGCTCTTCAATCTCTCCTGAAATCTGACTGATATCAACCTAAACCTAATATTAAGTAGGTGTGTTTCAACAGACCATAAACAGTGGCGATCATTGTCAAAAATGATGAAAGTTCATCAATGATAATCTGTAGATAAATATTCTTAAATGAGCAACGTTGCTTGCTTCAAAACAATGACGTCGAATAAAAAACATCATCAGCGCCAACTGTGATGTATATGTGCACATTAAAACTGGAAATCAATGTGCAACGCTGAATTCTTATCCTTCCACAGCATTTGACACACACAGCAGTCAATTCTTTAACCAAAACATTAGAGTCTTGTGTGAAGCTGATTGTGACAATCCTAGTTTAGGCCTATCTATAGACCAAGCTTTGAATGAAATGATTGACCATATACCGTCCGTGACAACAACAATATCATGCAAGGAATAATAATCAGTCTTGACAACATCAAGTTAACAACAGTTTGTCGCCCAACTTTTACTGAACTTTAAGCAATCAAGTAACGAAGAATAAAAGTGTCTAATCTTATACTGATAAGCTATTATGGTTGCTCAGTTTGAAACAATGGCTGTAGTTAATTCCAAATGATATTGTTCAGTAGTGAGATTTTGTTGGAAATAAGCATTCACAACGGACTCATTGTTGATTGCAATCATCATAAAATCACGTTTACACAATACTACTAATTTGAAAACAAAATGATGTCACACTCTTGCAAAACACGTCAGTTGTAGATGCCGCAGGTAGTTGGAGTTTGACAACACCTTAACCAGTGACACCTTCTATGAATCGTAACCACCAAGTGAAATCAAAAGCCAGAAGCGAGGATGTTCGAAAATATGTTTGATAGGCTATCAATGTATCGAGGATCGTCTGATCTAATCTGGCTAGCGATTGCATGTGTTGTTGAGCACGGCGTTCCCACTCGTGATCTGGTGCGGATTGATGACCTATCGCCTTCAGCTAGGTGAGTGCATTAAAACTAATATGGTCAGCATCCAATGTCGAAAGCTTACAGAGCTATTTATTTTGGGGATTTATTTAACGCTACACAGTTTCTATTCAGTGAAGACAATTACGCAAATAGTAAAAATCATGTTCTATATTTTGTCGATAAGATTACACAAGTTATTGCGTAAACAACCATAATAATGTACATAATTCCAAACTATTTAAGTGAATAACAATATGGAAAAGGTTCTAAAGAAGTACGAAATGAAAACAATTTGGAATAATAAAAATAAGTTATGAGACATTTCTGAGAATCATTCTTCACTTCTGTTTCTTTTATAAAGCCATTTCCAAATTACGAAACCAACACATACAACAGAGAAAGTGATGATCAAAGGAATCACAATATACAAGTACAGCGGTGATTCTTTCTCTAGATTCTCTTTGGTTATTTCGGTAGTCATGTTCTGAAGAAAAACAAAATATGAGCATTTATTACTAAATATCAAATATTTACCAAGTGTTCATCAGTTTCTTCTGTAGTTCCCTTGGGGCTTTCTGTAACCGGAAATTCACCAGCGCTCGATGTTGTTTCAATGTGTTTGGTGGGTGTTTGTGTACTCAACTCGTTCACTTCTGGGTTCTGCTTAATAAATAAAAAAAACAAAAGCATTGATTACGAAATGTCAATTAATTCACTAATCATCATGCACAATTGTCATCACTGATAATAGAATAATATTCAACAAATAGTTACTCAATTTGCATTCGTACAATCATTAAGAACATCAACTACCGATTTGACAGTCTGTATGCTGAGTACACATCATTCGGAAATTAATAAACGACTCTATTGTGTGATGAAATTTATGTTCTGAATGTCTCATCTAATCACAATCCGAATAAAAACCAATAAACTTAAAATTGGTTTTTTTTAAATTAAAGCAATGTAACCAGGTTGCATATTACTCAGCAGAGAGTCAGGAATTCTTGTTCTGAACTTCAACAATGGAGTCTACTTCCACTAATTATCAAAACATGAAACTCAAGTCCCATTAGGTTACGCTCCTTTAATCAAATTGGTTTAATCGGTATTTTGCAACAATCCACATAGATATGCGTTTTCTAAAATAACCACACTTTCAATGAGCTGAAATATCATTATTTTTCGAGTATTAGTGTCAATGAACGCTTCAATCTATTGTTTACTCATTCCATAGAAAGAAATCATGGTTCTCATATGGGATCATTTGACGTCAACGTATACAAAACTTTAATTTAGTCATTGAGGGTAGTGTACAAGTTGTTTTTCATTCGTAAAGAAAAGATGTTCCTTCGAGTGAATGGGTGTACACGAAATGTGTAATTTTCCAATATTGGAATCGACCTGTGAAGATTAAGAATTACTAACCTTAACACGGCAGTTATTAACTTTCATGTTATGAGCATTCTGGTCAGTATCATCAATGCATATGTTCGCTTCATCACACCAAAAACAAGTTATATCCAATGTTGTTGCGTTTTGGCATGCTTTAGGCGAAGTGTATTTTGGACAATAGTCTGTGAAAAGAATGAGATGATTTAATTTGAAGTTGCCAAATAAAAGGTAAGTGAATTACAAAACATGTAACAATAACCCAATGATATAATGGTGATTTCGGCGTTAAGTGACTATTTCACTCACTGGAAAATTGTCACTACGATGCATAATGCAATATTCAGTGTGTCATCAATTTCAATCATGTTTTGCAACATCATGTTTGAATTGAATGAAACTGTGTCGAATGTCAAGTATGAAATGGATTTCAATAACTTTACACTCAGACATGTAGAACATCTGTCTGGCTCAGCAAAGACGTTAATTGAATTTTTCATTTTGTACATTTTTTTATGATATACTTTTATAATGAACCGAGTTCAAGAAATTAGTTGTTTTCAGACTTATATCGTGTTTTAATTATGTCAATTCAGTCAAACGACAAACGAAGTCTGACATTGTTTTTAGAATGATCAATGATGATTTTCTTGAAGAGATTTCAGTCGACCTACTGTGATGTATGATATCAAAGTATGTAACTGCATTCTGTTATTTGTGCTGTCAGTTAATCTATGAAACTAGTTGGATCGGTAAAGATTCATTGATGATGACTGGAATATCTTATTCGCAGAATATTGACGGCGATCTGATTATTATATCATGGAATGATTCTCTCACTACTTAAAATATTATTTTAGTCGACTAAAACATGGTGAACTAAAATATGTTTATAGTTACTCAATGTACATATTTATGAGAAGGTACACATTTTCATAATGTGGAAATAATTCTCAAACTGGCTATGATAAATTGTAATTTGGAGACGTGACTTATCCATACCTTCAATTGATCGTATATGTATGACGAAGCAAAGATTTCGGAAAATAGGCAATCGTTTCAAGAGTATTGGCATTTACGTGAAGTGTTTTCGCAAATTCAATACATCAGCAAGATTTCATTTCACATGTATCAAAGGAAAATACGGACACTTCCTCGTCAACGCACAATCAACTCACGGACATTTAATTTTATTCAGAACTAACATCATCTCATATATCGTTTTGTTGCTTTGTGGTCAAGTCACTTTTTGATCAAAGTGAAGACTTCAATATTGGTTCAAAATGGGTTTTGAATCCTTTTCATCATTCAACGAATGAATCGATGTGTAGTTATTAATGATATGTGAAGTGTCATTTAGGATAGATACCTCGATATCATGTGGTAGTAGAATAAAATTATACATGGAATGTTCAAATCGTTGAAATAAAAGTGATGTTTTCAAGTGTGAAGATAGTGATGGCTGATTAAATAAGTTATAACATACTTCTGACAGCTTCATATTCCACCATTGTTCCACTGTTGATCCATGTTTCAGGAGTAATTATTTTAGATACTGTATCTTGTGTGATATATTGAACAAGAAAAGACACATAAAATTCAGAATTCGTTTATAAATACAACAGGTTATTTGCACCATTTAAGTCGTGGTCTAAACAAGGAACTGGGAAATGTCTCATATAAGATAAGTTGCGATTATCTAGCATGTCCAAAAATTATTAATGTACATCAAAATCGATCAATGTCCATTCAGTACCATTCGTTTAATTCTGTTTCATACAAAGCACACTTCATTTTGAGTGGAGACTGAGGACTGAAAGTGTGACTTGTGTACTGTAAGTTAAAAAATAAATGAGTGTAAATCTCATTTCTTCAATCTCGTCATTCATATGTCCTCGTCCGAATGCGTCAATCGGTAACCATAAGATTGAGCCACATCAAAATAGTCATCCGCACTTTTAGGATAAATACATTCATACACCTTAGTTGCTTTACTCAAGATATCTGGTTAAGTGAGTATAAGCATATGTGGACAGTGAAATCTATTATCGATGAAATTTATCACAGAAAGCTGAATTGACACCATAACGATCTCACTTTGAATCATTTCTGTGGCATCATCAAGTATGATAGTTGTTGAATTGAATGCATATAAACTTGAATTTCAATTCATTTTATAATAGTGGTTCTATGTTCGAAAGCCCTAGTCGCAAATATCAAACACTTTGACAATTAGCTTACACTAATATTCACAATCAGTTGTGATACTGCAATTTTCCTACAAGGAGTGTGAACATCTATCTAACGTTGAATGTTCAACATTCAATGACATTTGAACAGTGCTTTTACAAGACGCATATCAATTTCATTTTGCACAATTATCCACAACACTTCAACGACATTTATATCAGTTGATTTTACAAGCAAATCAAGTCTTTAACGTAAACTGTAAGAAAACTAAACTGGATCACTGTGATAGAATAAGGGAATGTTCTGTATTGACGTGCTGATAACCAGTGTACAAACAGAAAGTAATGTAACACAAAAAGATGACTGATAATGTGAGTAACCAGATATCAATGTGCTGACAACATTCGTTGAAATGTTTCTTACTTCCTTCACACCAGAATTCACCGACGATTTTCGGTTTCCATTCAACTCCTTTAATTTCCGTTGGAATCTGAAAGAAAGTGTTGATAGTTTGAGTCAAGTTCTCTCAACGCACAACCTCCTACATGAAAATGAAGTGATTCACTTCTAATTATTCACTGTTTTAAACAAGTGCTTGAATAAGATGTGTCATCAAAAGTTGAATAATTGTGTCAAATATTCTGTTTGCACATTACAGAATGTTGATACATTCCTTTCGTGTTCAATGTAACTAGATATATTTGACAGTATTCATAAACATGAAATAGTTGAGTATTCTGAAGTACGTGAAACAAAACTACATTTGCATTCAATTGTGCGACTTACGTTATCATAATACAAAATTATCTTCCCATTCGGATGTATAAGGCAAGTTACCTTGGCTGTAAACTCTACAATTAGAAAACCATCGATATTTAGAACTTGGCAAAAACAATGACCAATTAATCGGTAGATGTAACATTGTATATGTCAGCTCATAAAGTGACCATGTTTCAGTGAATATTTACTGTGTTATGTCAAATATTTTCCTCAGTTGACTTCATGTTAAATAATTCTAAGTGCACGTCATGTGAATGATAGAAACATACATCCTTCTAGACGAATGTCAAATGCCTAAAGCTGTACTACTTTTGTATTATTACTGAAACAATCAATCGGTAATTGTTCCATTAAAATCCGATGGTCAATGAAGTATTCATATGTATGCGATATACATTCTTGAATGCCTGCTGAAACAATCGAGACTGTGTACACATGACATAAGATTTGGAGTGTTTGCTTACAAATTGGACTTGGGATTGAATTGTTTACATGGTCACGTGACATTTCAGTCGATCAACTGAGTACGACCATAAAGTTTATTTGTTGTAGATGAGAAACGAATAGCCTTAGATAGATGGTATTACGGATATTTTTAAAATTGGATAATATTTGAATGACTATGAGATTAATGGATGTGTAGATGAATGTGTTGTGTACAGAACTGACTTTGTGACAAACATACAGCACAATTTATTTATTTTGAAACTGAAACTGATCATCAAATTCAATTCAAGCCTGTAAACGTAAATGAATCACAAATGAAATAGGATTGTGACCTGATTTATCCACTATAGTGATCTGTATTTTACTCATCAAACCTAGTCATTTCCAGATCACATGAACTATTCTTCAAATCTTATTCAACGTCATCAAGCGATCAGTGGATTTCACAAATAATTCTACCCTCATTTCTCTGAAAAGTGACAAATTCCTACATTTTCAGTTTCTGAGACAAATTGAATCTGACAACCTATGAATAATCATATGGAATGAAGATGTAAGTGTGTGGATTCCACATGTGTTGACTTACGTTTACCATCAATGTTTTTAATAATAAACCATCTGACAGCAAATAATTCCTCTGAAATAATGAAAATAAAAATGGATGTTCAAATATCTGTTTAATGAATATCTATCACATTTAATAAATGAACGTATTAACACGGACTACATTTGCATGTAAGTTATGATCTTCATTCTGAGATTTATTGAATCGATGTAGACAAATACTCAAGCATCTCTCATGAGGAAAGTTCAAGAAGTATTATCAGCTTCATCCGTATGATAAATGTCTCAATCCATTCAACTAAGAAGAATAGTTTACTTCCGTAACATCTGTTCTAGGAGCTTCAGACTGTGGTACAGACCGTTAATGTCTAACTGACAATACCAATATAATAACATTTTCTGAGATTCGGTTATTAATCAGTTCTGATAACTGGCCAAAAACGGATGTTTGCAATATGGGTGTTCTAGGTTGTTCTTGTTTGAGTTAACCATCTTTTGATAGCAGAATATTATAAATCTTTCATAGCTCAGTTGTTTCATGAAGTCCCTGTATTCAAATTCGGTAATACAACGAATGTCATTGCAAAGATCGAATCCGAAACTCGATGGTAAACAGACAGCAACTCAAAGACATTAGACTTATATGAATGAAGTAATTGCTTGAAAAGTATTGGAAGACATGAAGTATGATTTCATAGTTCATGGATGTCAATAATTCAAAATGACCTCTCTCACAACATCGCTTATTGTTGCACATGTGATAATTCCGGTTAATTTAGTCTACAAATATGTATCGTGTCGATGCCGATATCTGCTATCTTGTAGTTTTGATAGACTGTGGAGTTGGTAATTGACACTCGGACAATAACAACACTTGTTTTGTCATTTCTACCCTTTCAATATGTTTGTATTTTGAGATGAATCTCTGTCTTTATCACATGATAGGTGTTGTGAAACACACATGTTCTGGTACCAAAATCACACAAACAAAACAATCATCGTGTGTTGATAAGCTCTTGTGTAATAATCAAGTCAAATAGAGAATAATGTATGCAAAATGAAGTGTGGGAATAAGTGACGAAACAAAATATAACTGAATAATACAAGAACTCACTCTCATCCGAAATCTCAAATTCAGGATATGAATTGATTGAACTAAAACGGTTTAATATATCCGAGGTAGTCTTGTCCTTGCATATTTATTTCACCTGTATTTATTTATTGAAAACATGAAACATGATTGATCATTTTACATTGAATGAACTAAACTAAAGACTTAAATGAATTGCATGAACTGCATCTGGATTGTTATAAGGCGTCACACTATCGACACAATTTGAACAAGAAAGGATATCCGAAGAATTTTTGCATGTCTCAAGGAGAATAAAACTAATTTAATAAAGAAATGGAATCAACGTGGATTCATGGACAGAAATGTTTTCAAGAAAATAAAGTTATAATTTGAGGTGAAAGAAAATTATTGACTTACCAGAAGTGAAATACGGAATTCTTTGACCTGACTACTGTAATATTTAAACGACAGTTTCGGTTTAGTCAACTAAAAAGACGTAAACACAGGCACAAGTACCTTCATCACAAAATGTATTCAGCTTACCGAACCATCATTGCGTCTACTGAAACTTCCATTCACAGCTGGCTGAGACTGATTAATACTGATACTCTGCAAATACATATAATGCTGAGACTGAGTATGTGTATAACGATCAAACTGATTACTTACATATCGATATGAACGGTTTTCAAAAATTACTTTTTCCAAAGTCATCCATTCACGTTCTTCACAATGATCCTGGCATTTGCAGAATTCGTAAAGCCAGACGACGATCAGAAAAAATGACATCGATCGAGAAGATAACATGTTGTGTCTAAAATGGTTCAGATGAAATAAACAACGTTATCTCATTGTCTCGATTCTCAATTCGAGTTAGCATGCTCAGTCAACACTCACCTCATCTTCTTGTTCAAAGTAGTAGGTCATATTTTAATAAAACGTGTCAGGTTTATATAGATGTTTGAAGTGTAAGGTTGTTTACTACTGATTCGATGATTCAAACTGACCATTAGGATGAATATACGTGGTAAAATCGTATGTTCATTGTTAACCAATCATAGACGTAGATGAGCCCATCTTTATTCAATATTCTTCTGGCTGTTGAGAACATGAGTTGTAATTTATCCACAGTTGTTTGAAATTCCTGACCCCTATTGATGAAACCTATCATAGATGTGATTAACATTAATTTATAGTCAACGATTGGTTAACTTGTAATTCAAAAGTTCTGCTCATATGTTCATGAACAAACAGTTGGTTGTCTGTAATAGTCTGTTAATTGACTTTTAATAGTGCACAACATGTCGTTTACTCAGGTATTACAGACTGTAGTCGAACACACAATTGTTCTGTAATTTCGTGAATTTATCAACATCAAAATTGTGCTCAATGATACATTATCCGTTTCATGTCGTTCATCATGATCTAATTACCAGAGGAAAACATATCTGCATATGTTTTAGTGTCAATCAGTAATTGTGCTCAGGAAGAGTATGAGTCAGATTATAAATTATTTGATGTGATGCCTCGTTATACCTACTTGTGTATTTTACATATTGTTATTAGGAAATATGTTGCAAGTACACAGTATGACTTACTGCATGATTTTATGGTTATGCGATGTCAACTGTTACAGCTTGTCAATTCTTGCATATAACCTATTGCTCTGTACTGTTCTCCATTATCCATTCATGACCATTGGAAAAAGGGACTTTGATGTATTGCGAAGAGTGCTCGAGGCAGTTAGCAAGGAGTGCGGAGAAAATTTTGAGGTCATTATTATTAGGATTGTAGATAAACATTTATGTCTAGCTAAATCCTGACAGGTGTCATCTTATCACGTAC